GGAAGGGGGCTCCATGGGCTGGGGTGGCAGGAGCCTGGTCCCTGCTGGGGGTGGTGAGGTCAGGGTGCTCCCAAAGGCTCCAGGACAGGAGCACCCCAAAATTCACACCTCTTCTTCCAGTTGTGTGCTGAGTTCCCATGGCATTGGGGGGTGCAGGAAGGGGTGCAGCTCTGGGTGCTGTGGGGGCAGCGCAGATGTTTGGATGGGGCCGTGCTGCAGGGCGGGTGGCTGCTCTCGCTGGCCCCTGCCATGGAGCCCAAGTGCTGCTGCAGCACTAGGGCCCTTCCTGCCCCGGCAGTTGCTGCCCTGGGTGCAGCCCTGACTCTGAGGACATCCATCCCTCGTCCTGTGGTCCGCTCAGCATGGGGATCATGTCCTGGGTTTTGTTTTGTGGCCCCTCCCTGTGGCTCCCTCCTGTCCTGGAAGGAAGGGACCGTGCTCTGTTGGACCTGTGGGCTACGGGGGCAGTTCCCCAGTTCTCTCTGCAGACTCGGGCTGGCAGGGGAGATGTCCCACTCCAGTTGTGCCATGGAAATCCTGCTCTTGTTTACAGCCAGTGAGGTTTTTGCAGGGTTTGTGTATCTCGGGCTGTGTTGCAGAGCGTGGTGAAGAAGATGCTTGGTGTGGATGTGCAGGGCTTGGAAGGACCCTGGGGGCTGTGGTAGAGCCCTCCCCAGGCCTGTGCCGGCTGGGGGCTGCACTGTGTCCCCGTGCTGCCGTGGGGCCAGGCCCTCGCTGGGCTTTGCACAGGCCGTGGCACTGAGGAGCATTCAGATTTGGGTTTGTTGTGACCAGTGCGTCGCGCTCTGCTGTCGGGTGGGATACTGGAGCTCACTGATCTCCCCGTGCTGGATCCCCCTCCGGCTGTCTCCTGTATGTGATAGGATGACTTTGGTGCTGTCCTGGCTTTTGTTGCTGCTCGCGTGTCTGCGGAGAGGAGTTCCAGCAACCCTGGCGCTGTGGGCAGGGAACGGTGCTGGGCAGACTGGATGTGTCCTTGGGAGCTCCCTGCTGCCCCGGGTGGGACCTCTGGGGGCCATGGACCCCCCTCCCTCCTCCCTGCAGCCCTGAGCTGAAGGAGCATTTTGCCATGGGGTTGCTGGGCTCTGTTTGTCCTGGGAGCTGTGGAGGAGCAGCTCTGTGGCTCCCATGTGTTGTGTTTATACGGATGAAGGCAGTGGGAGCTGCTGGGAGAGGAGCAGCTGGGGGCCAGCCGAAGCCATCTGTGGGGCAGGGGCGCTCCCCAGGGGCCTGTGCCCAAGGGCTCTTGCAGCAGGGCTGGCTGATGGCCCCAGCTGCCTGGTCGTGAGGCTGGAGGAGGCTTGAAAATGTGGTTCTGGGCTAGGGGCCATTTGGGATTCGGTGGGGATTTGTGTCCGTTTCGCAGGCACGCGAAGCTGCGACGCAAGTGGGGTTGCAGCTCGGGTGCGGTTGCAGCTTGGGTGCAGTTGCAGCCCCGGGAGCACCAGGCCCTGTCCAGCTCGGGAGTCACCTCACAACCGCCCGTCTCACACGGACCAGGACCTTCCCCGACCCATTTTTCAGCCCCTTCCACATCACCCGCTGCATCACCCAAACCTGCTCCACACAAACAGCCGGGCTGCACCCAGAGCCGCTCCCTGCCATGCCGATGCCGATGCCGATGCCGCGGGCTCGTGGCAGCCTGGGGCTGGGGTGGACCCAGACTCCAGGGCAAGTTGCCCCCCTTTTGGCACGACCTGTGGGCCCCGGGGCAGCCGCTCCCCGTGCACACCCATGGCTGCTTCTCGAAGGGCCGATCCCGCTTCCATGAAATCTGGGTTCTCTGGCTAATCCTTCTTCTGAACTGTAATTTCCCCCGAGGCTGCTGTCAGTTTGATGTGGATTTCTTTGGGTTTTTTTAAATAGAATTATGGGGTCAGCACTAGTTACAAACTTCTGCATGTGGACAGATCTATTTTAGATAGAGGAGAGGATTAAAGGGAAAAAAGCAGATTTAATTAAGTTGCTAATATTTAAAGAAAATTGATGAACTCGAGCTTTATGAGTTGGAGCAAACAGAGTGCGCCATTATTACGGGCTAGTTTTTATTTGATTTTCTTTCTTTTCCAGCCCCAGAGTCATTTTTTATTTGTGTATCTGTGCTTTCTGTTTAATCGCTTTTAATAAGGAATGTGCACCCCTGTTCACATTTAATTTTGATTTAATTATTGTTAAGTAATTAATGGCTTCGTAAAATTCCTGGCCGTAGCCTTTTAGGACGAGGAAACTTCTCCAGCCCAGCAAAACGCACAGATCGGCCTCTGGTTGGCCCGGGACGACCCCGGCTGCTGCGGGCGCCCCTGTCCTGGTCTGGGGAGCGGGGCGCAGGCGGGGGGTTGGGGTGGGGGTCCCCAAACTGCCCGCTGCGAGGGCGAGGCTGGGGGGGAAGCGTCCCTGGGCCCACAGCATCTCCCCTGGGTCACCCGTCCCCCCATTATTTGCCGTTGAGCCAAGCAGCGCAGATTGAGCTCTCTAATCCTCCCCTGTAAATCAATCTCCGCAGCCCCTGGCGCCCAGGCTCCATTTTTCTTCCAGGGACGCGGGGCTGTGCTCCGAGCAGGCAGCGATGAGCAAATCTGTACGGAGGGCGTGCTGCGAGCGCAGCGTGGCGCTGGGAAGAGGTGCTGGGCGGTTTGTTCTGGCCTAATTATTAATCATGAGCCTGGTGCTCAGCAGAACAATGCGGGCTTTGGCACCAGCTGCACCTCTTCCTTCCTGAAGAGCTGGGGCTGCAGGGAGGGGGCAGCAAGCTCCCGGCGGGATTTGGGGAGGGCAGGGTGGTCCCGCAGACCCCCCCACAGACACCACCCAGGGGCCCAGGGCCCGGTTGGGGCCGGGGAAGCCTCGGAGAAGCCGCAGCACGGGCAGCGATGTGCGAGCGCTGTGGGAAATGCATTGGGTTGTTCAACGCGTGGGCCCCTCACTCACGAAATAAATATATAAACTGTATCTAACAAGACAAATATAATGAAGGCGTCATAAAAAAGAGGCAGCTCTGGTATAAATTCTTGCTGGTAGAGCTGTGTGTCTGAAAGGTGGATTATAGAACCGCAGTTTGGAAGATTGAATGGCCCATAAACATTTTCATATTTCATTAGCCGATTAATGGACGGCTCTTTTCTTCTTTTTCTCTTTGGCGGGGGGGGGGACACGACTTTGCTGATTCTAAGCAGAAATCGTAGGAAGCGAATGAAAGCAGCTGATGAAACCTTTCCGGGGCCTGTCCCGTTATGGATTGTCCCAATTAATGCCCGTGCTGCTCTCTGTCAAGATGCATTCTGCCTGTCCAGTTACTGTTAATAGATTTCTCATAAGTGGCTGGATTGTAAAAACCTCATAACTCAGTTTAATGCCAGCGATAAAATTATCTCTGGACGTCTGGCCTGGATTCCAGTCAGCTCCCGGTCACCGAGGAGCTGCAGTTTACCCTTTCTTTTCCCAATTTCAAATGTTGTCTTAATTAGAAAATTAAGCAGGGATTGTCTACAAAAGCATCTTCCCCAGGGTTGGTTTTTCATGCTGAACATGCCTGATTTCCCACATTCTCCTGCAGGCTTTGCTCAGGTGGGGGCTCTGGGGGCGATGTGAGGGTCTTGTCGTGTAAACCCAACTCGTGTGTGCAGCGAGCGCATGAGCTCTCAGGCAGGGAGGTTTGACTGCACGGGCTGCCCAGGAGAGGGGGTGGGGGTGCTGGGGCAGATCTGGTGATCAGGAGGAGCTGTGGTGGTGCTGGGGCTGTGGTCGTGCTGGGCATGGGCTCTGATGGTGCTGGGGCAGAGCTGGGGATGAGGATGGGCTGTGGTGGCGCTGGGGCTGGTGCTGTGGTGGTGTGGGGGCAGAGCTGGACAATGAGGATGGGCTGTGGTGGTGCTGGGTGGAAGGGACGGTGCTGGTGCCGAGCTGCCGTTACACCCCATCCGCTGTGCGATTTGGGAGAAGTGATTCCACACCGAGGGCCCTGGGTCCTGGCCGTGGGGCACAAGCCTGGCCCCAGCCGGCTCCCACCCTGTCCCTGTTTCCTGGCAGATCCACTCGGACTCGGATGAGGGGGACGGCTCCATCAAGTACACCATCTCCGGGGAGGGCGCGGGGACTATCTTCCTCATCGATGAGATCACGGGTGACATCCACGCCACCGAGCGCCTGGACCGGGAGCAGAAAACCTTCTACACGCTGCGGGCTCAGGCCCGCGACCGGGAGACGGACCAGCTGCTGGAGCCCGAGTCGGAGTTCATCATCAAGGTGCAGGACATCAACGACAGCGAGCCGCGCTTCCTGGAGGGGCCCTACATCGGCAGCGTGGCCGAGCTGTCCCCTGTCGGTAGGTGTCCTGGGGTGTGGGACAAACCTTGAGCCTGCTGTACCCTGCAAAACTGCCTGCAAATCCCAGGGATTGCAGCTGAGACCAGAGCTTGGGAGCAAAAAGGGAAAAATAAATAAGGTGGCTTAAGGAAAACAAGTGAATAAATCCTCTGAGCTGATTGCCAGCCTGCGGCTGAGCGCTCAGTCTCAGCCCTAAGCCGTGCCCTGGAGATGGCCGTGGCGGTGCCAGCTGCCCGCCTTTGCACAGCCCCTCGCGGTGGGGGCACCAGGGGGGCATCCCGAGCTTTGCATGTTGAGGGGCTCATGGCTGCCTGTGGTTCAGCTCCTGAGTGAGGTTTCTCCCTCTGCCCAGGCCGTGCTGCTCTCCAGAGCCCAGGGCCGCCCTTGTGTGTCCCTGTGCAGCGCTGCAGCCCCCCTCGCCTGGCGCCTGGCCTTCCTCCGAGGGGCTGCTGGCTGGGATCGGGGAATTCGCGTCCCCTGTGACAGAAGCGTGGCTCCCCCGTGGTGCTGTGAGCCTGCCCGTCTCCTTGCCACCAGGCATCTTTAAGTGCGTGGGTGATTGTGATCGGGCTCGCTGCAGTGCTGCATGCCAGGCTGGATGCGTACTATGAGGCTGCACGAGTCCACCCCCTGGACAGCGGAGCCAGGGACAGCAAAGCAGGGGATGGCGGAGCGGGGCAGTGAGCTTTGTCCTGGGCTGAGCGTCGGGAGGGTGCGGGGAGGCGATGCAGGAGCTGCAGTGCTGTGCCCGTGCTCCCTGTGCCGGCCCAGGGGGGTTCCCACGCTGCAGAGCACAGGGCAGGCTCACTGCACTGCCCAGCGCATTGCACCGCTCCCATCTGCACCAGGTACCTGTGACCCCCTCGACCGGCCACAGCGCGTGCTGCGCCACGGCAGGGAGCTCAGATCACCGTTCTCCAAAGGCTGCGTGGAGGGGGAAGGCAGCTTGCGAAGGGCTGGCTGACAGCGACGTGAGGCAGTCCCAGCGCTGCCGTAAGGGATGAGTCAGCACAGTGACAGTGCCAGTGCCAGTGCCAGCAAAGAGCTGGGGGCTCAGTGGGGCTGGGGGTCAGTGGAGCAGGGGAGCTGTGTCCCGCCGGGTCCTGCTGTGCTGGTGCAGGAAGGCCTGGCTGCAGGGGCTCCCTGGCTGCGGGGTGCAGGGATGCTGCTCGTCCTGCGCTGCCTCGGGTCTGAGCTGTGTCTCCCCGCAGCGAGCAGCTCGGTGTGAGGCTGGTGCACGGCCTCCAGCAGGTACAGATGTGCAGGAATCGCCTGCGCCAGAGGAGGAGCTGCTGCTGCCTGAATTTGTGTTGACGGATGGAGGACGAGCTCTCCTGAGGCATCCCAGGCTCTCCTTCCTCTTCCGTTTACCTGCACGAATCCTTCCCCGAGATAGAGCGACCCCTTGAACTGCAGCCATGTGCTGCTGCAGGAATGAAAGGCAGCATGTGGGCAGCAAAGCAGGAGGCATCCTGCTCCCAAAGGGATGAAAGAAATTAAATTAATCTGGTTTGCTTGAACAACATTTAAAAAGGAAGGAATTCTCGACGCTGAGTATTAGACAAGGATCCCAGTTCTTTGAAAATCACTAACAATTATGGAGCTGCCTGATCAGACTGATCCGAACAAGACGTATCAAAGGAGACAGTTTCTATGCGAAATTGGAGATCAGAGGGAGAAAGAAGCACGGTTTCACAACATGAAAGCAGGCGATTCCTGCAAATTAAAATACTCAAAAGTTAAAGGGAAGTGCTGTGAACAGCGCGGGCTGTGCTTCCAAGCTGCATGCTCACAGAGGGCAGCTGCGGGCAGGCCCCTGTCCGTCCGTCTGTCTGCAGCCTGGCCACCCCAGGGAGCACGGGGCTCCTCTGCAGCCACCCAGCCCCGGAGATGGCCCAGCTGACGGGGCAGGGAGAGCTTCAACCGCATCAGGGACGCTGCTGCCGGGGTCCCTGCGGTGCAAACACAGAGCAGGGGCACCCGTGTGCTGCTGCACGTCCCAGCTCCAAACTGGTTCTCCCTCGGCGTTACCAGGGCTCGGTGCAAAGGACAGGGTGGGCACATCCCATGAACGCATCAACCAAGGAGCAGGTCCGAGAAGTGGCTCTGTCCTCCCTGAAATCCCTCTGGGGTCAGCGGCTGCCCTGGCCATGGAGCCGCTGTGTGAGCTTCGGCTGCAGGAAGGGCTGAGGGTGCAGGGCCTGGCGTGCCACCTGGGCCAGGGAGGTGAAGTTCGGGACTCTCCTGTGGAAATACCCTGTTGGTGTGGGTGTCCCTGCTGCGGCACCAAGGGCGGTGCCGCTGTGACCACGGCTGTTTTGTGGCTGGTGTGGTGGTGATGTTTGCTGTCTCCAAGGGGTGTTCTCACGAGTGGATGGGGAGCAGCGCTGCCCCTGTGCGGGGTGGAGGTGGTGCTGTGGGGCCAGGGGGTGGGCAGCCCGGGGACACCGAGGCCGTGGGGTCTCCTCTTGCTCGGGGCAGCTGCTCCTGCCCCCTGCCCAAAGTGCGGTGCCAGCTCCCAGAGCTCGGTGCCTTCCTGGGGCAGAAAGAGGAACAAAACAAATGCGGTCAGATCCGCTGTGTGACAGCAGGAGCAGATCAAAGGACGTTATTTGCATAATGAAGAAGTGCTAATTTGGAGGGAAGGCTGTTTGATTTCCTCGTGTCTAAGAGGGAATAACAAATGTGAACTGCACAGGCTCGCACAGCGGCTGGGGGGGGGTACGCCTCCCCTCGCCCTGCGCTGGGCCGGGGCAGCGCATTTTGGAGTGACGGCGTTGGTGCTGACAAGGCTGGGACGGTGTCAGGGCGCACCAGAGGCCTCTGCCCCGGGATCTTGTCTTGACGGTGGCCAAAGTGGATGGTTATGGAGGAGGGGGAACAGCACACGCGGCCTCTTTGATGCTGCTCTCAGTGCAGCAGCCAGTTTCAGCTTGGGGATTTCCTCGCTGGGTGGTTTCTATGGGTTTATTCAACTGCAGCATCTGTCGTCCACGGACTCATCCAGACTCACTGTAAACCTGTGCAAAGCGCAAGGAAAAGGGGTTGATTTTGCCATTCCATGGATCAAAAATGGCAAATGCAGGATGGTGAGGAAGGCAAGGACAGAGCCCGGGGTCTGTAAGGGAATGAGGTGCTTGGCGCCAGCCCCAGCCTGGGGGTGAGCACGAGCTCTGCCCCTGGAGCAGTCAGTGCTTTCTGCCAGAGCAGACCCGGGGCTGGCTCTGAGCTCCTGCGCTTGGGGGACGCGCATCCGAATGGAAAACGTCCCGAGTTTTGCCTGGGCTCCTTTGGCATGGCAGGACCGGCTGCAAGCGCAGGCTTCGAGGACCGCTCTCTGGAAGCCGGCTCTGCCGTGGGCGGGTGGGCAGCGTTCTGCTGGCAGCAGAGCACGGAGCTGTGTGCGGGCACCTGCAGCTCGGCCTCTGCGTGGGTGCAGGTCCCTCCAAAACACCCGAGCTGAGCAGAGCCAGCACCTGAGGAAGGATGGGGCCCTGAGAACTGTGGGATCTTCACCTCGGGGCAGGAGATGCTAAAATCGGCCGTGTCTTGGGCTGGCTCCCTGGGGTCCGGGTGGCAGCCGTGCGCACACAGGCGTGAGCGCAGACCCGGCCCGCGCTGCCTGTCCTCGCCGTGTCTCCCTGCCCGCGCAGGGCGGATGCTGCAGCCCAGAGCCGCTGCTGCGCGGCGTGGGCAGCGCTGGGAGCGAGGGGCACGCAAGGAGAAGTGCATCCCTTCATCAGCGCATCACCCTGCCCTTGGTGCATTCTGCTCTCCTTATTTCTCTGTGCAGCACAAAGTCCAGATTAGAGACGATTTGGCTGTACAGACAGAGACGCGGGGTCAAGCCCTGCCTCCAGCACAAAGCTGGCTGAATGCAGCAGTGATTATTGTGAAGGGAAATTATTTAATCTCCACTCTGGAAGCAGAGAAAAGGACTTTGTTTAACATGCAGCCAGAACACTTGCAGGCAGTCTGAGGTTTTTTTTTCCTTTCTTTTTTTTCCTCTCAATGGAAAGTGCTGAGAACACCCGTGTGCATCTGGAACTGCTGGGGCAGCAGGGACCCGGGGTCTGCCCTCCCCGGTGGGGCTGCCCCTTCCCCGCTGCCCCCTGTGGTACAGAGCAGGCTCTGAGCCCTCGCTGTGCCCTCCCATCCCATCTGTGGGTGCTAAGCCCCTCAGGGAACCTGTGCCCCCTTAATGTAATGCTTTGATTTGCTCCCCAGGCCCCCCCTTTCCCCTGCTGGGTGCCCAGGGCAGGGGTGCCCTGTGCCGTGGGTCTCTGTCCTGATGTGTCCCCAAGGCCGTGTCTGAGCCGCTGCGCCGCAGCCGGGTTGGCTCCCTCAGGCTTCTCCTGCAGGAGGTCAGGGCTCTGCAGCGAATCTCCTCTGGGTTGGGTTTGGCTTCCTACCAAGTCAGGATGTTCCTGAGATTGCAGGAAACTCACTTCTGCTCCAGTAATTTCTAAGCTCCTCTGGTTTATTTTCCTCCCTGTGTCTCAGCTTGTTTCTGGGGTGCAGCAGCCGCCGCGTGTGTTGGGGCAGGACGGAAGCTGTAAATTGCGTTGTTTATAAGATCTGAGCTGCCCCCGGGAGCACCGCGCTCTGACACTGGCCTGGGGCGGGCGGGTTTGGCCGG